CAAGACTCAGGAAGGCATTCTAGAAACTTGGTTAAAGTTTCAGAATTAGAATATTCTCTACCGACAGCCCTAAAATCAATAAGAAGGCAGTTAAATCTTTGATGTACTTCAAACAGCGTCTCAGACTTTTCACAGAGAAAGCTTTCATACTGTCTTAMTAGATTGATCTTTCTTGTCTCTTGAACCTGAGTGGTTCCTTCATATTGGACACAAAGTGTGTCCCACATGGATTTAGAAGTTTTGAGTTTCATTACTGAGTGATCAATCACATCAGGAAGAGACATAGCTATTATAGACYGAGCACGCGTGTCTATAGCTATTTTCTTCTTGTCTTCATCGCTACATTGATGTGGGAGCTTTAGAATCTGTCGTTCAGGAATCGCCGCAGTCGTAACTGTTGATTTGGACCCAGAAATGATATTGGAAGACCCAACGCTGGAACAGCCGGAGCAATAGCAAATGGAATATATGGTCTATTTTCTATATAATGTGGAATTTCAGGATCCACACCTTCAAGAAAGAGGGACATCCGGTTCTTTTAGAGACTAAAATTGTCACGGACAAACCAGGGATGTTTGGCAAGAGAGCCATTGTCTTTTGTGTGTGTGTTTGTAATTTGTAAAGCCATTTGTAAGTGGTAAAGTTATCTAAGAAAAAAGATAAAGAAATACTGAAAACAGCTAAACAGAAAGAGAGAGAAGAAAACACTGCTATGATACCACTTGTTGGTCCCTTAAGGGTCTACAAGAATAATAAAACAGTTTGTAGAAGAGGGGGGATGAATACAAACACAATATTTTCAAATTTAAAATATATATTGATAAAGAAGATCAATACAGATTTTACAAGATTGTTTGCGGAAAAATAAGGTAATAAAAACCTATCTAAACAATCTTTGGTTACACACGAGTTTATAGCAATACAAGAAAAGAAATGCTGTAAAGAGGAGATCCTTTACTTAAGCTAGAAAATGCTTGAAATAAGAATTAGGGTTAGAGAGTGAGTTGCGTGCACTCTGTATGAGAAGAAACACTTTTATTTATACCCAGTGCATTAAATGTTCAGTTAATGCAATATGGTAGGGTTAGAGTGCGTGTCAAGCCTTAAGAGTAAGGCTTGTCCTTTGCTATAGTGAATAGTACAAAAAGCACTATTCATGAGCAGACATCCTTACCTAAAGTTGGTGGACAATAAAGTTGACTAGTCGGCTCCGTACCGTACCAACTTTCATAAGGGTATGGGTTTGTCCTTTGTGTGCATAAGGATAAGACAACAACAATCATGCTAAGCAAGCTTCCTTTGATCGCTGAATGCTGGAATGACCTGAAGGTCTCTTCATCATTCGCTGAGACTTGAGCAGTCTTCACACATATGTAGACAGGCTTGTAATCACTATGTACCGCTTCAGATCACGTACTCGCTAGTCTCTAATCTTCAGTTTCAATCTTCGACATATGGTGAAGGTTCTTTGGTGTGCGTGTTGTCTTCTTGAAGTATTGTTGTCTCTGTTTGATTTACAATACAAGTTCTTCAGCGATCACTGAACAGGCTTAGTGATGATCGCTGGAACTGAAAAGACAGAAACATAAATACAACGTATAAGCGAAAAGTGATTATCATCAAATCACTGAGAGAGAGGATCAACACCCACCCTTAACCACCTCCCCTCTAAACTATCTAATCCCCCACTCCCTTCCCGGATGCAAGGCAAGGCTCCCGACTCCTCTTATAATCGCTTATCTGTTTTCACTGACCCTAGGTCCTCCCCCTCCCCCTTCCCTGCCCCCTCTTCTCCCTCTGGGATTGAGGATGATGCCCTTGATCAGGATGACCTCCTTGGTGAGGAAGACATGATGAAGGTTGAGTCGGACGATGGTGACACCGCTCAATTTCTTACCAGTGATATCACTCCTTCCCAGGTTGATCCGAAGACCTCTCAGGAGTCTGAACAGATGGACTCTACCCCTTCCCTCGTTTTCCAATAATGTTATTGCATGTGGTCCTCCCTTGTTTAGTCTCTTTGGTGTTGTCCTTTGAGCTTCGATGTTTCTCGGTCTCCTTGGTACGGTCTATGGTGTCCCTATTTTAGGTCCCTTTTCTTGCCTTTGGTGTTGTTCTCGTTTGTTGCCCAGGCTTCCCCCCACCCCTCGGGATGCCTTGGTTCTAATCTAGTGGATGTGGTTTGCCCCCACCCGAGCACATTCTTTGTCCTAGTGTTTTTGGTTTTTTTTACTTGATAGGAGAGTCTCCCCCCTCCATATAAAAAAATACTTAATTGATAATAATTAACTAACCTTGAAGGTGTATAAGAATCATGTCATGATCATCTTTGCTTTCTGGTCGATCTGTTTTTGGATGACATCATTCATTTTCCTGAAGGTGGGTGCCCAAATGTAGGATCCCCATGGAAATCGGTTCTAAACTCTAAGATCCTCTATAACCCTAATCAACATGTCACTAACAAGTTGTTTCTTCTGACGGCGAAGAAAATCCACCTCCACCATCATCAACAAACCGAGTCGAATAACATCGTCGTGCGATAGGCCCTTTAGGTGGCCAAACTGCCTATCCACGACAGAAATCTTCAAATGGTTAAGATCCCGTGGTGAAAGTCTCGCTTTGGTTGGAAACACCCTACATATGAAAAAGTCATCTCGTAGGGTAGGAAGGCTGGTCTATGGTCAGAAACAAAGCCCTTTCAAAAGACAACTCCTACCGGTAGTAGAGATCGTGCCCAACAATATCGAACCACATCTCGTCTTCCTCTACATTCTTAGGGAAGACTATGTCTTCCTCTACATTCTTAGGGAAGACTATCTCTGGAGGAACATGTATATCAACATGGGATCTCCATCACCCATGGTAATGTCCAACACTGGACCAAAATAGGTGTTGTGAAAAAAGGCCAGCCTCATAGGACTCAATTTGTTCTTGATATCTGATGCGACAGGTACCCGACACTTGTGCGTCAACGACAGCTAGTAAAAATCCTCCTACATAGTGCCTCCATCAATTGTTATGATTATAGCAACCAAATTAGTAAGTACATAAGTACAAGGATTAAATCTAAAATTACATCAACCAAAATTACAGCAACCAAATATGTTCTTACTATAATTATTGGGACCAAATAGGTAATTGATCTATTTATAAGGACCTAATTTATAAGTAATCTAATTACATAAGTCTAATATGTAACAATTTTAAGTACATGGACCAATCTATAATTAATCTAAGTCCAAGAACCAAATTTATAACAATTCTACATATATGGACCAAATTTGTAACTCTTCCAAGTATAGAGACCAGATTTGTAAGAATTCTAAGTACATGGATCGAATGTATAACTATTCTAAGTACTAGGACTAAATATGTAATTAATAAATTATAAGGACCTAATCTATAATTACTTTAAAAATAGGGACCAAATATGTAACTATTCTAAGTATAGGGACAACTTTTTTTTAACTATTTTAAGACTTATAGTGACCTAATTCTAAGTAGAGGGACCAAATCTGTAATTAGTATACATATAATGATCTAATTTGTAACTAATCCAAGTACAAGGACCAAATCTATAAATATCTAAGATTTATTGGGACCAAATCTTTAACTATTCTAAGTAAAGAGACCAAATATGTAATTAAGACCTAATTTGTAACTAATCTAAGTATAGGGACCAAACTAGTAACTATTTAAGATTTACAAGGACCAAATTTGTAATTATTCTAAGTAGAGGGATCAAATATGTAAATATATAATTTTGCTAAATCGATTGCATCATGCATGGGTTCGAATCCCATTTCTTCCAGTCATAAGAACCTAATCTATAACTAATATAATTACAAGGATCTAATCTTTTTTTACTATAAAAATAGGGACCAAATCTGTAACTATTCTAAACAGAGGGACCAAATATGTAAGTACTCTAAGTTAATGGACTAAAATATACATTACTATTAAAACTTTGTTGGAAAGCATGGAATAAATAATGTTAGGGTTTATTCTAATAACAATAAACTAATAATAGGTCTGTAATCTTTAAAATCCAAAAATAAGTAAAAGTTTTTTTTGACATGACACCAAACACAGGTACACAATTTGGGAATTTGTGGACTTGTTTTCGGTGGCAGCCGATTTTTTTTTCAATTTTTGTACAAATTACGGAAATGCATCAAAAATCATAGGACAGAAAATAACATAACATGTGTTCAAACAACATAAGGTAAAATAACATAACTTATAACATAACATGGGTTCAAACCTGAAATCTTATTAATATTTAACACAAATAGTTTATGTTGATACGAGGCAAAGAAACTTACTTGAAGAGCCATTGCATTGAAATTGCAGAGTTACTTGACTTGGAAGATCGTTTTGTGGAGATAATTACGTGCCTTCCTTTTTTGCATAGAGAACTTTTTTAGGTCCCCACTAGTTTGTGTTTATATATAAAATGATTAAAGGGGTGCTGATGGGTGGGTTGGGGAGGGGAACATATTTACGGACGCATCATCATGTTCAAAAGAATTCAAATAAATACTTCTTTCCAAGTATAGAGATTCGATTAAAAGGTTCCCCCCATTTGACACTTTGAGGTCCGCAAAAACGGCATATCCGTAATTGTATACCTGGTAGAAAGTGTAAATTTTTAAAGTCCAAGGGCAGGTCAGCAATTGTGGAGGTAGTATATAGTGGACGTGTATATAAAAATGTAATTTTTTTTTGTCATTTTGCAGGGTCTGCAATTGCGGACTTGAGTTATTGCGAATCTACGGCCAAAAGGTGAAACCACATAGTCAAAATGGCTCTCTAATTAATTTCCCTCTAGAAATTTTATTTTTTCAATGTAAGAGATCTTAAATGGACCAAATTAAGAAAAATGATAATGTAAAATAAGTTTGAGTCATTCAACAAGTACTACATTTGAATTAAGAAAAGTCATTATTAACACGGAACGAATAATAATCATAGAAAATATAAAAAAAAATATTAATCATTCAGTCTATTTTAACAGAAGAGAAAAGCCGATGGACGAAGAAGAAAGATGTTAAAAAGCCGACCGCACCTGTAGCAAGCAACATAGCCGTGACCATGAACAACGAATAACCCAAGTAAACCATCGCTGATACGGGCCCACTCAAGCTCTTGAGATCGAAAACCAGATAATTAATCGAATACAAGAACACGTAAAGAGAGACCGAACCAGATGCAAAAAAGGATTTCCACCACCACCGCCAATCCTCAACACAAAGGTGCATGTAAGTCAGCACCAATGACACCTCGGCACAAACCGTCACGAGCAAGATAAATACGATGAATAGAAACCCAAAAACGTAATAAACTCGACTGAGCCAAATGCTCGACATAATGAAGAATAGTTCAATAAAAAGAGTCCCAAATGGGAGAGTCCCGGCTCCTAAAACTAAGATCCAAGAAGGAAATTTTTGAGTTGGGATCTCTCGAGGGATTTGATTTGTGCGAACTGGGTACTCGAGATATCTACCCTTTGTTGACACAAATCCCCCAATTAACGTCAGCGGTACTGAGATGCAAAACCAGAGTGAGATCAAAACCAAAAACGTCGTAAATGGAATAGCACCGGTGCTTTGACTTGCCCACAAGAGCGAATTCAACACCGTCATAATTGAGAAGGAGATACCCGGGAAGAAACAAGCGACACGCCACGAGACTGAAAACCATCCTCGATTTTCACCGGCTGCTAGTGTTCTCCATAGCCATACCGCAACATAACCAGCAACGACACCAAGAAACATATAAAACATAAGCATTCCTACACAAAAAAATGTCATTTGGTCAAAACTTGCTTTACAAGAAAATTTGATCATTTAGGTTTAGTGCATATAATCGCTACTTGGGGGTTAGGCACCTGAATGATTCGAGCTTTAACGAGTTATTCGAGCTTGAGCTTGATAATTCTCAAGCTTGAGTCAACCTCGAACATAAAATAAAACTTGTTTAACTTAACAAGCCGACATAACACCAATGTTCGACTCAGTTCATTCGAGAACTCGATTAAATTTTTATAGTCGAGCCGAGACATTCGAGCATACACTTTTCCTACCCAAATATGCTCATATGTTCATTAATCATGCAATAAAAATATAAAAAAAGTTATGAAACACTAGCCAATAAATGGGTTAATCTATCACGAGTTCGACGTCATAAACGAACATCAAGCTCAAACTCGATAATCTAAAAAATATTTGTCAACAGAGCTCATTCCTACGTTGAAAAAGTTATTTGAACTCGAAACTAGTATTAATTTTTTTTGCCAAGTTTCAATAACCTAATTAGTATTCGACTCGTTTCGACTTCTTTACACCTCTACTAGGAATCCACTCTAATAGGCATATAACACAAGTGTCACCTAATTAAACGTGGTCTTATACGTCTTTCTAGGAATTTTCACATTAAATGATAACAAATATTCTAGTGATTTAGGGGTCATTTACCAAATATTTATTCGGTAAACATGGTAAACGCTTAGTAGTAAATTTAACACTAACATTTTCTTACCGGATAAGATTTTTGTCAACCAAAACGGTATCATATGCAACAATTATCCAGTAAGCGCTTACCGTGGTAAATTTAACACTAACATTTTTTTACCGGATAAGATTTTTGTCCACCAAAACGGTATCATATGCAACAATTACCCGGCAAACGCTTACTGTGGTAAGAGTGGTCGCTTTCACTTACCGGGTAAGACTCTTGGTTCTTGTCTAACTCTTACTGAGTAAGATTCTTGATCGTTACCATATTCATATGGTAAGGTAAAATGACTTAGTGATCAATTACTCGAGAAAGCGTTTGGTGAACGGCCCCTTATACTTTAAATTTCCTCTAAATAAAAAATTGTTGTATTTAAATTCTTTGTCCCCTTTAATCACGTGAATGCGTATTGGATCTAAATTTAATATAACTTTATTTAATTCTTGTTTATATTCCCTTCTTGATTCTGAAAAAATTGGAGCAAGACAACAAACTATTATTCGATTTCCTTCTCAGCGGTCATCAATTCAACATCCCTTGGCAATCGTAGAAGTGTAGTTACACTGTTAACATTAGGTATCATGGAATACAGTGGTGGTAAATGGGCGAGGGTGTTTACGTCGTCACTAATCTTGTCATTAGTGACGGAAAAACATATTTTAGTGACAACAATATTTCTAATAGACAATGAATTGGGTGTACGGAAAAACCTGTGATGAGGGAACCACGGGCAGCCGGAGACATAAACCCGAGAGCAGCGAAAAAGATTGTGGCAACCGCCATTGCAAGAATCCGACAACCATCTGCCACCATGACACATAGCAATCCAGAGTTTTCAGGTGACCGAAAAACATCAGCCACCACGAGCTTCCATCCCGATAACTCCTCATTCATTTGTGCCTGAGCTTCCTTATCTAACTCCTCATAACGAGCCAAATCTCTTCGAATCGTCCTCAAGAATATCACTAGAACAATACCGGCTAGAAAAGTCACCACCATCAACGAGTTCAAGATCGAAAACCAGTGAACTTTCGCACCTTCCATCTTCAAATACGCATCCCATCTCGACGGCCACTTTATATCACTCTTAACAAATGAAACCTCATATGTAAAACTCACCCGCTCGTTTTCCTTTATCGCCATCTCTACCGAGCTCGGATCACATTTGATCGAAGACGGATATTTACCATACGGTGCAACATCCTTTTGATCGTGTTTAACACTACAAGGAATGACCTCAAATCCCACAACCATGTAACCATCACCACCTACCGTTTCATTGCTCGGTGTGATGAGTTCGGCTCCATCCCCAGTCCCAACAACACCGACAACATTATCGTGTTCGTACTTATGAACCAAAACCGTAAACTTCAAGTGATTAAAAAGATAATAAACATCTTGAACCCTTATTCCAACAGGATAACCTGTCCATCTAACAAAGAATCCATCTCTATGCATATACCTAATGGCTGGGAGATTATCAAGATTCAAATGAACCTGATACATTTCATCGATTCGTTCTTTCAGGGTTTTGTATTCATCATGCGATAACGGATTCGATTTACATAAAAAGATCTCGGTTTCATTCTTGTACATCTTAAACCGATATGGTGAGTTTTCAATTCGATCTCCCATTAGAAGCTCACCAAGATTCTCAGCACTATCTTTGATGCCTTCAGGAGGCTTACAAAAAGGTAAACTGTAATACCCATATGGAATTTCCGTATCAATGGAGGTCAAAGAGTTCACTTTTACCGATAATTGATCACCCACATCGTATTTATGAGGGAAACTACCAGGAAGATAATACGCATGAGTAATTTCAAGAATAAAACATGAAATCAGAAGATATTTCTTGAATCCATCGAAAGAACCCATTAATTTTTTTACCTTAAGATCGAAACCGGAAGGCGATCAGAAGTTGATTCAAGTGGGATTTTCATATATATAAAAGTAACAGATCTACAGATCAAAAGAGGATTGTAGTGAATCGAAGAATGGAGTATAGTTCACAATGGAAGAGGTATTGAACTTTGAAGATGAGATATTTGAACCCTAAAAGTATGGAGGTATTTGCAAATGGAAGGTGGTATAGAGAGAGGGGAACGGGGACAGTGGTACTTATATCTTTGCATTTCAGGGAAAGCAAGAAAACCACTCATTAAATTATTTTATTCAATTCCTATTTAATATAATATTTAAAGTAATCTATAAATTTGGTCTATTTTGCTTTGTGGAAAATAGTACTTTTGTCTAAACGGTTTCAAAATTAAAAGATGGCCGTCATGATTTATAAAAACATTTGGGTTTAGTTTCTTATCTAACGATTATTAAAAACATTGTCAAATGAGGGGCATTTTTGTTATTTTATCGATCTTTTATTGTATTTTATCTAATTAAAGTCGATTTTATGATTTTGATCCCTGTGATTATTGATTGGGTTAAAGGCAAAAAAATCGATAAATGATAAAAGTATTTATCTTTTAACGGCCGTTAAAGAAATGAACCAAATCAAAACGTTTTTGCAAACCACGATGGTCATCTTTTAATTTCAAAATTTTTGCAATGATAAAAAGTGTCTTTTAATAATTGCTATCAGATATAATTTATAATTTTTGAATTTATTCATATTAATTTAGTGTAACGATTTCCTTTTTTAATCAATATACACAAAGTTCTAAAATTTTCTATTTCTTTACAAAATTTGACTAATGACCATTGATTTTGTAATAATTGATGATTTAGATCTAAAGTTTACCGTCCAATTTTTCATAATCCTTTTGTAAACATTTTTTAATTAATGTGCATCCATGCCACTAAATGTGACAAGATCCGCAGTTACTTGTCAAAATGGGTAAAAAAAATTGAAACCAGTAAACATATATACATATACAAATATACATACATATATACATATACATATATGTAACATAAACATATATACATATATACACAAACACAAACACAAACACAAACACACACACACACATGTATATATATGTGGAGAGGTTCATTTGAGAAGTAAAGAAGTAATACGAGCTCTTCATCGGTTCAACATTTGCTGATTTGATTGTGAAAAACCGGATAATTCCTCACATGAGTATACTTGAATTTGAGATTAATAATTGATATCAGAGCAGATTACAAAGCTTGTTTTGATCCAAAAATCGTTCAATTTGAAAGAAGTTTGAAGGTTTTTCATGAAACTTTGTTTCTTTAAAAAGTCAACTGTTTTATAATATGATTTCGATGATTTTGGTGGTGTCTGATTGATTTGTTGATGCAGATTGATTCAAAATACATAGTACATCAATCCTGTGCAATTTCATCGTTTAATTTGAAGAAATTATCAAGAATTTTGCATATTTGATGAGTTTTTTATCTATTTGAGTTTGAAGTTTGTTCTTGTCATTTTGAATTAATTTGTGTTATTTGATCCTAATTAGTGCTAAGAGGTGTGAGTCTCATAGAATGAATCTCAGTCAAGAATGTACAAACAGAGAAGAGTATCAATGAGAAAAGTATTGGAGCAAGGCAGTAATTATGTGCAATGATTATCAAAGAATGACTACAAATGAATTTGACAGCAAACCACCAGTTCTATTCCATAGGGATTATGTTCAGTGGAAGGATAGATCCCTAGACTTTATAGATCGACATGAACTAGATGAGGAAATTCTTCTCTTATTGAAAGAAGGTCCAACTGAAGTTCTTGTGGATATACTTGGGTTTCCTTAGGCTAATCCACCAATTTCTACAAGGAGAGTTCTGAAAGATTGATCTAAGCATACTGCTGATGAGAAGAATCATGTGAAAGCTGATAAATTGGCAAGTTCATACTTACTACAAGGATTAACAAGTGTGATCCATGATAGCACTGATAGTTACAGGACAACTAAAGGCGTGTGGGATCAAATTTCTAAGAAAATGATGGGTAAAGAGATTGGGGCTCAGATCAAGGTAACCAACCGTACCACAAGTTATGAGGATTTTATATCTAAGGAAAGAGAGAGTTTGGATTCTACTTATGATAGGTACTAAAATTTAATGAATGAACTGAGAAGGAATGGGATCATGAAGACTAATATTGAGAATAATGTCAAGTTTCTAAATAATTTGAGACCTCAGTGAAAAGAGGTTTGCTACTAATATAGTTCAAAATAAAAGTTATATCAAAATTGGAAATTCATGTGGTTTTTGAAAACATCAAGAAAAACCAGGAAGAGGCTTCAGAGATTTTGGAAGTTCATAAAAAGAATGTAAAGCCAACTTCTAATCCACTGGCTTTGGTTTCAGAAAAGAAGCATCGGTATTCATATAAGAGTTCAGACATGATACAAGTGAGGCCTTATGTGGCGAGATATATGAAAGTGAATCTGATATAGAACTGCAAGACTTGAAGCAAGCAATGATTTTTTTTAACACATGCTTTCCACACAAAATTCTATAAGACACCGTCGTCTAACAAGCAGAGATATTCTTCAGGCTCAAAGAAGTATGATGGTAAGAACTTTGATGGGAAAAATTATGAGAAACAGGTAAGGTATGATGGCTGAAGAGGATCATTGGTTGAACCTCTCGGATGATGAGGAGGAGGCTGATGCTCAAGCCAACAAGTGCTTCAGGGCCAGTGTTGGTCCCAACCGGGTCTACAAGATTTTTAGAGGAATAGTTTGTAGAAGGTGGGGATGAATACAAAGACAAAAAACTTTCGTATTTAAAATGATATTTTGATATAGAAGGATCAATACAATTTTTTTGCAGATTGTTTACAGAAATAGAAAAGGTAAAGGTAACTTATCTAAAACAATCTAAGATTACACACAAATATACTTAGCAAATATAAGAAATTTTCCGAAAATATAAAGACAGAAAGATGTTCTTCTTGGGTAAGAACTTTAGAATTTTTGAGAGAGATTCTAACTTGCTTGAAGGCAAGCATATGTGTTCTGTAGATAGATGTCTGGTGCATGGAGAGAGTACTAAGCTATTTATACCCATTGCATTAAATGAAAATCAGAAGGGTTGGAAAATGCGTCAAGCTTTAAGAGGAAAGCTTGTCCTCTGAAATAGTGAATAGTACATTTATTTATTCATGAGCAAACATCCTTTCATGGAGTTGGTGGGCATTAGAGTCGACTAATCGGCTTCGTGCAGCACTATACTCTTGAAAGGGTATGGGTTTGTTCTTTGTGTATGGAAGGAAAATACAAAAACAATCATGCATGGCAAGCTTCATTTTATTGTTGAATATTGAAATAATGCTGGAGGTCTCTTCAGCATTCACCGAGGCTTGTGTAGTCTTCACACGTATGTAGACCAGGTTGTAATCACTGAATACCGCTTCAGATCACGTTCGCGCCAGTCACTAATCTTCAATTTCAATATTCGACATTCACTGAAGGTTCTTTAGTGTGAGTTTTGTCTTCTTGAAGTATCGATGTCGCGGTAGGTTTACAATGCGTGTTTCAGCGATCACTGAACATACTCAGTGATGATCGCTGGAACTTAAAAGACAGAAATAATAATACTTCAAAAGGTAAGAGAGATTATCATCAAATCAATGAGAAAGATGATCAACAATCTCCCCCTATTTGATGATGACAAAGCAACATAAAGAAAATTGCCTGAAGGTTTAATAATAAGGAAAAGTTACATATAAAGTAGATGTCCTTTTTAACTATTTTGGGATTTTTTCAGTGATACAATTTTTACCTGTAAGTTTTCTTAAGTTACAAGTTTAAGAAAAAGTACAAAAGGGAAACTTAAACTGAAAGCATGTTCACTGACTAAAGATTGTCTGTAACTGTAAGAGCACACTGGAACTCATAGACATGTGACCCTATTACTCTTTTTAGGGATCTTTTTAAGTGAGGCTGATGAAATATTTATATTAATTAAAAGAAAATCACAAGTGTTTCAGTCAGTACATTTCTAGACTTATTACACATAAGTTGTACAGTGAAAGAAGAAACATAGAAAAATAAGACTTACAATAAAAGATAAATTTACCAGACAAAATTTCATAACTAATCTAAGTCGCTGAAGTCGATGTAACCAGGTACTTCTTCTCCAAGCATCTTTTGACGTAGAAATTCTCTTCTAATCTTGCGGTCTATCATTTCACCATAAAGATCATTATCCAACCAATATCTTAGATAAGCAAGATGTTCCATAGGACAAAGATTAAACTCAGACACTCTTTGGAAGCTGTGTTTGCCTTCATAATGAAGGAAAATAAATCCAAACTCAGGCTTTAGATGCACAGTATTGGGTATGTAAGGACCCTTCGCTGGCAAAGAGAGCTTCAGCATGGAGATGTCTTGCTTCTTTGAATCCTTCAGGACTCCATCCAAGGAGAACTTTGTTTAATGTTTATTCCTTATAGTTGGTCCATCATTAGGACTTGAAGGTTTTCTTCTTCCATCATTCTTCAATGAAGGCTTTGTAGTTACAACAACGAATTTAGACATCTTCTTTGAGGATGTATTCAATCATTGGTTTGTGCCTTGACATTGAGCGCTGATGGCTTGGCGGATTTCCAGCCATTCATTGTAGCCGTATTGTCCTAGGTAGGAAGGATACTCTGTGACAACTTCAAGGTTGTCTCTGGTGATGAGCATTGAGATGAGAAGTCCACCATCTTTCATCCATCGATTGATTGTGACGTTTAAGATGCAGTGATGACTTATTCTCTTATTCAGACGATCTAGCGCTTGTTCAGCTTTAGCGCCAGGTCCTTGAAGATCACAGCTGCATAGTCGATAGGGCGTTGACAGATAACATAAACGCCGATGTTTAGAGCGACCCTTGAAGCTTGATCTTGACCTCTAGTCTTCCCTTCCATGCACTAGATGAAGTGGGAGAAGAGGTACTTC